ACATGGTGACCACATGGACTCAGACACTGTAGTGCTATGAGGACTGCCTAGTACCGAGCGGGACATTGCACTGGTGGACTTGGCCGCTGGCAGTCCTCTGCTCAGGAACTGCTCTGACATTTGTGCTGATAAACGCCCTCCTCTAATTGTCAAATAAGTTAGCGTTGAGTTGTCTTGCTACCGGCAACTGAAATACACCCTAACTGTAGAAGAACTCTCCCAAGGTTTTAAAAGGAAAGATGTCGCTTCAATGACTAAGGTGCTCTTGACTCAAGCCATGGCCTTTTCAATCATTTAGAGCAATTACCAAAACCAGATTTCCCTTTCAGTTATGTGCCTGCACTGTCTTCGATCCCTCCCTCCCTGTCTCCATCCTCAATGAAACAAAAAACTAATAAAACAGAGGAGAGCACACAACAACAGTCATGCTTTGAATCTGAGTCTATACTTAGACCCAAGGCTCAACTTTCAGTCAAATCATAGATCTAAAAGGCAAACAATGTCAGTGCACACTCCTTAGGAAAAAACCCAACACAAGCACAAAAAGCAACACCTGCTCTGAGGGAAAGCTCAGAAGGAGGAACGAAAATGAGTAACAGAAGGAAGAAATGGAAGAACCCTGTTACCTTTTGAAGATTACAATCAGAGTCAGCCCAAAACATATTTGTGTGAATTGAGGACTGGAAAACAAATTTGCTCTGTAAACTTTCATTTAAATCACAATAAAAAGTTTAAAACCAAAGAATGTCCTGGAGGACATTATGCTGAGTGAAATATCTCAGTCACAAAAGGACAAATATTGCATAGCACCACTATTGTAAAATGCGACTGACACTGGGGTTGAGGGGAGACTGAGAATGAGGGAATAAATAATGTATACTGCATTGAAACAGATGAGTGAGGAAGAAAAAACCCCAACAACCCAAAGAATGAAGACATAAAATCAATATAAAAGAAAAAAGCAGAGAAAGTGGGTGGTGGGGATAGGTTTGTTGTTGTTAGGTGTCATCTGGGTGACTATGACACTTGGGGACCCTGAGAACCTCACATCGGAGCCCTGTCCTGTCCTGTGCCATCTCCACGGTCTCCTAGATGCTTGAGCCCATTGCTGCAGCCAGTCTGTCAGTCCATCTATTTGAGGGTCCTCCTCTCCCTCCACCTTCCCAGCGTGATACCTTTCCCGAGTACTGACCCCTCTTGACAACATCAAAGTGTGTGAGATGAAGTGTCACCATCCCTGCCTCAAAGGAACACGTTGGTCACATTTTCTCTAAGACAGACTTGTTAGTTCTTCTCACAGTCCATGGATTGCCAGTATCCTTCAAAACAGGCACCCGTTCTTCTGTAACACGTACTCCCTGCCCAACTGTTAGACATGTTGTTGTTGTTATGTGCCGTTGAGTCACTTGCAACTCATAGCGACCCTATGTAAAACAGCCCTAAACTCTGCTCTGTCCTGTGCCAATCGCACTGTCTCTGACACTCCCATCCTGATTACCCCAGTCACTGAATCAATCCACCTCATCGAGGGCCTTCCCCTCCTGCGCTGTCCTTCCACCCTACCAAGCATAATGTCCCTCTCCAAGGACGGGTCCCTCCTTACAACATGTACAAGGTATGTCAGATGAAGCCTCAGAATCATAAATGCAGGTTATACACATGGATTTCACCTGATGGTATGCATAGGAATCAGATTGATTATACCTGCAAAAAGAACCACCAGAGAAGCTCAATATCAGCTGTGAAAACTAGGCCAGGAGCTGATCAGTTCTTCTCTGGACCAGCTTTCACAGGTACATGAAGTGATTGAAAGTTGCATGACTTGGGTGTCAAGGGGAAATCTCTGCTTTTAAAGCTTTCAGGGGTCTTTGGCAGCAGATAGGCCCAGTGTCATGAATCATTTGGTTTCTTGCCTGCTGTGACTATGGGTAATAGGTACAGAGCTAGGCTGCCAACTCAAAGGCTAGCTGTTCAAATCCACCAACTGCTCTGTGGAACAAAGATGGGAGGGACTCTCCTCTCACGTGATTTACAACCTTGGAAAACCTGCTGCAGGGTGAGCCAGGAGTCGGTTTCATGGAGACGACACTGAGGGACCACATCGGATGTTGCTGGTTATTTCAAGTAAGTTGAAATCTTTGACAATGTCGATGTTTTCTTCATGCATGATGATGTTGCTTATGGGTCTGGTTTTAAGGATTTTTTTTTCATACTGAGACATAATCCATACTGAAGATTATAGTCTTGAATGTTCATTAGTTAGGGCTTCAAGTCCACTTTGCTTCCAATAAGTAAGTTAGGTTATTGATACATTCCAAGTTGGTGATTCCAAACCTGATGCCAAATTCTTCTTCCTACAGTCCAATTTCTTGGGTTATTTGCTTGACATATTCATTGAATGGGTATGGTGGGAGGGTGCAACCGGACACAGGCTTTCTCCATTTTAAACCGCATAGCACCCCCTTACATGTTTGAACAACTGTCTTGGTCCGTATTCAGGTTCCGCAGGCATACCATTCGGTGCTCTGGAATCCCCATTCTTCTCAGTGTTACTCACAGTGTGAGAACCCAAAGAATATCAATGAATGGATCAATATCAACCTGGAGGGAAGCCATGTCCTATCAACAGTTTAATCAGTGACATGGACAAACCAGGAGACACACTTCACCTGCATCAGATGACGCAGAGCTGCTGGTATGACAGATGACCGAATCAAGATCCCAAATCACTGTGACCGACTCTCAATGATAAGGATACGTGTGAACCATGCATTTATTTCAGCTCAGAGGAATGATTGGGGTCACAGGGACCAGCTCTGGCAATCACTGCGGTGACCTGGAACTTTACGCTGAAGGTAAGCTCACTATAGATCAGAAGCTGAAGCAATGGTTGTTAGGTGCTGATGGTTCTAAAAAGGACCCTCACGTCGTTGTTGTTGTCATGTGCTGTTGAGTTGCCTGCGACTCATAGTGACCCTACATACAACAGCCCTAAACCCTGCACTGTCCTGTGCCAATCTGTGTCTCTGACACACCTACCTACTACTCCAGTCACTGAATCAATCCACCTCATAAAGGGTCCTCCTCTACTGCGCTGTCCCTCCACCCTCCAAGCATGACTTCCCTCTCCAAGGACTGGAACATCCTTGCAACATGTCCAAAGTATATCAGACAAAGCCTCAGAATCCTTGCCTCCAAGGAGCAGCCTGGTTTAACCCTCTCCCAGATGAACCTGTTCGTTTTCATAGCAGTCCATGGTATATGCAATACTCTTCTCCAGCACTACAGCTCAAAGGCATCACTTCTCTTTCTATCCTCCCTGGTCAATTGCAAAGATCATGGCCTGTATTAAGTGCACCTTAGTCTTCAGAGTGACACTATTGCTCTTCAGTCCTTTGGAGAGGTCCCTAACAGCAGTCTTTCCCATCACAATACGTCTTTTAATTTCCTGGTGCCAGGAGTGTTGACTGTGGAGCCAAGCAAACTAAAGCTGTGAACAATCTCAATCTCTTCACCATCCATCCTGATGCTGCCAATTGGCCCAGTGGTGAGAACCCCTCATGTACAATATAGTAAAACCACACCCACTCCCAGCTACCCTCACAATCTACTGTGTTTTAGCCACTGTTACAGTCACTGTGTCACTTCATCTCACTGACCCTCCACCTTTCCCAGCATGATGTCTTTCTGAGGACTGGCCCCCCTGACACCATGCCCACCGTATATGAGATGAAGTCCAACCATCCTTGCCCCGAAGGAGCATTCTGGCTGCACTGAGGCGACTAGTAGCATGTTAATATAGTTTTCAAATATTTGAAAACAGATTTAGAGAAGAAAGATCAAACTTGTACCCATATATCCCTCGTGGTAGATAAAGATAGGTCTCCAGGTAGTGCAAACAGTTAATGTGTCCAGCAGTGAATCAAAAGGCTGGTGGTTCGAGTCTGCTCAGAGGCACCTGGGAGAAGGTCCTGATGGCTCTTTGAAGACTCAGTCCTGGGGCTCCTGTGTGCTTTTCTCCTCTAGCACACGTGGTCACTGTGGGTCAGAGGGCACTCAACAACTTGTCTTTTTTAGTATATCAGTGGAATTTTCTGGGACACAGTTTTCAGTTGACTATTTGAAATTTTTCTTCTAATGGTTCTAATAACAGAAGAGGCCACTTCCAGAATTCTGAGGTTATCAGAATGTGCTAGAAAGAATTCCATGCTGATGGCTTCCTTTTAAAGCACAGCCTTTTCTGTTTTAATACAAAGGCTTATTCTCTTTAATATCTTCCAAGTCAAATAATGCCCATAGGAAGTTCCAGAAACAATGAGGAGTTACTGTTACCCAAATTAGCACCATTGTATGTACATCTATGACAAAGCAACACAGTGCCACCTCTCCCAGAAGGGTCACCAGAGTCCCTTGCAAACAGCAATGGCCAGCACCATCTTCATTCCTAGCCCTAACACATGGCCACTCCTGTTCCTCAATGTGGGCATCGTTTTCCAGCTCACACCTTCCTTCTGCAGCGTGTCAAGACCCACCCATGCCCTGTGGCCTCATCTCCTTCCCCAAGACTTGTGGCTTCCTCAGCCAGGCTGGCTCCACAAACTGCCCGACAGCAGAGGTGAGTGCCCCCTGTGCCTTTCACAGCCATTCTGAACTACTTGACTGTGGACTAAAGGGTCATTGGTTCGAGGCCACCAACCTCTCCCAGGGACAAAGATGAGACCGATAGTCTGCCTCTGTGAAGACAGACAGCCTTGAGCACCCCATGGGGAAGCCCTCCCATGCCCCTCAGGGAGGTTGGGGGCCAGACCCAGCTCCATGGCAGGGGGCTTGGTTTTCAATTTTAGGGTTCCAAACCTTCCGTCCTACTAAAACCCAGAGACACAGAGCAGGGGTGGGGAAGCTGGGCCAGAGCCCCACTTCATCTCAGAAAGCAGCTGCAGCGGGTGGTGACTGAAACCAGCTTTGCTTCTACGAGCCTGCCCCCGGCCGTCTGTACTCACGTGCTTCTCATAGAACCGGTCCACCTCTCCCAGGAGCCGCTCCTGGCAGTCAGGGTGGGTGGCCAGGAGGTAGGTGGCAAAAGAGAGTGTGTTGGTGACGATCTCGTAGCCAGCGATGAGGAAGAGGAAGGCCTGGCCCACAATCTCGTCCATGGTCAGGGGCTTGGACAGCGCCCTGGCCTCAGCTGGCCGAGGAGGTGACACAGGGCACTTGGTCGAGGAGAAGACCTGCCGGACGGTGTCAAAGCTCTCCACGCCCACGGAGCTCAGGCAGCAGCGGGCATCCAGCATCACCTGGAGGAAGTCCTTGCGCCTCTAGGGAACAAGAACAGCCCAGCTGAGACCAACACCTGAGACTGTGAGTGAAGCTTCCAGAGTGAGAGGAAAGAATGCAGGTGTGTGTGGTCCTCAGAGAGACCAGCTGTCCAGATGCTGTGAGCCTGAGCCCATTGGTGACCCCACTGGTGGCCACTGACCCCACAGCCCACTGATGTCCACCAACCCCAACCCTCCTAGTGGCCCCTGACCCCACAGCCCACTGGTGACCAGAAACCCAATCCAGCTGATGACCACCAACCCCACCCCACTGATGACCATTGACCCCACAGCCCTCTGATCATCACCTCACAGCCCACTGATGACCACCACTCCTACAGCCACTGATGACCACAGCCCACAGCACACTGATGTCCACACCCCACAGTCCACTGATATCCACCACTCATAGTCCACTGATATCCACCAGCCCACAGTCCACTGATATCCACACCCCACAGACCACTGATGTCCATACTCCCACAGTCCACTCATATCCACCACTCATAGTCCACTGATGTCCACACTCCCACAGTCCACTGATGTCCACCACCCACAGCCCACTGATGTCCACCACCCACAGCCCACTGATGTCCACCACCTACAGCCCATTGCTATTTTGCCATTCTGACTCAGGGTGGCCTTAGAGGACAGAGCAGGACTGGCCCCTCACAGCATTTCTAAGGCTGTAATCTTGATGGGGACAATTGACTGGCCCCTCTTCCCCAGAGTGGCTGGTGGATTGAACCGCCAACCCTTTGATTAGCAGCCTGGCATTAACCGCTGGTTTCCTCGTCCAGCACAGAGGCCTGAGCTGCCCCCATTCTGGAGGAGGCAAAGCGTGGCGTGGGATGCTGCCTGGTGAAGGGCAGGCGGCTTCTCCTGGCTGCTCGGAAGCCCTTGAGCTGGTGACCTGCAGCAGTAGTGGACAGGTGTGCAGCAAAGGACTGACTGGAGACGGCCCAGCTTCCTGCCTTAGGGCTGCTGGTGGATTTGAACCACTGGAGATGTGCAGACTTGGTTAGCAGTGCACCGCTCTGTGGACTACGCCCCAGAGCAGGCGTGTGTGTTCCCCACTCTGCGGCTGTCAGGGAGCACAGCCGGCCCAGTCTGCAGGGCCGCGCAGGAGTTCCTCAGGGTGTGGTTGTATCAGCTGTAAGGCAGCTGCCCTGCGGGGGTCAGTGCTATGCACATCTGCTCACCAGCAGAGGCCACCATCAGGCGCATGGGGCAGGGGTGCCACAGTAGCCAGTGCCCTTTACTGGTCTGGCCTGGGGAAGGTCACGGGGACACTCCCGGCCAGATGGCAGGCGTGTCACGGCTAGGGTATAGGCACACCATGACAGCTGTCCTCTCTGGTCTGCCCAGTGGCTGGGGCCTGGAGTGATGTTTACCTTCCACATCCGTGTGGCATTTCCTGTGCAAACACATCTGTCCGACGGGAGTGCGAGTGTGTGCTGGCTCACCCCAGGCTCTCTGGAACGTGTGTGTGTGTGCTGTGTGTCGGCTCACCTCAGCCTATCTGGAGTGTGAGTGTGTGTGTGTGTGTGTGTGTGCCTCAGACAAGCAGCTCTCCCTGCCTCATGGGAGGGAAGGCTTGAGCAGAGCCCCCCAGTGACAGACTCCTGGAAAAACCTCTCACCAATGTCCCTCCCAGCAATAGATCTAGAATTTGCAGGTGACTGCACAGCCGGTGAGCTTGAGGCTGGAAGGAAGTCTGACTAGACTCTAAGAGGGAACCCAGCCCAGCTCTGTGGAACGGTGGGACCTGAGGGAGCTTGGATCTGGGTGAGGAGGGGCTGGAACTGAGGGAGACCCGGATGGACTCCGGAGAAGGGGCAGAATGGGAGCCTGCTTGGTGCTTTCCAGCCTCTGAGTCAGGCCAGACAGACCAGCTGGCTGGTCTCCCACCCTGAAGGGCAGTCATGTGCCATGTGGGTCTGGACAGTGTGGTGTGATCTGGACATGTTCTGGACCCCAGGCCTTTGTGAGCTGGTCTGCTGTCTGAGGCTGGACAGGGGGATGTGGCTGATCAAGGCCGCACAGTGCAGCAGGCCACCTCCTGGCCCTTGTTATTAACCCTTTCAGATCATCTAACCTTCCAGAAGCCCCTCAAGGCTCCTCCCTGAACAAGTCAGCTAACCCTTTCTGAATCGAGCTATTTTCTGCTTTGAATTTTGTTGTTGTTGCTGAAATTTTTGTGCTGAAATGTTTTAAGTAATGAGAGGCATTTTGAATGAAACCAGAAAACATTTTTCTAACAATGGACTTGAGTATATCAGTGAGGTGAGGACGACACAGCGTAGGGCAGAGTTGTTCACAGGCCTCTATGCGTCATAGGTAACCAGACGATATCTGCCGATAACAATGGACTTTGATACACATAGTGGGACACGCATGTCCTGAAGTGTCTCTAGTACCAGGGTTAGTGGAATGAGGCCCACTCCTCAGATTCTGTTGTGCAGCCCCTCGGCAGAAGGCCTTCTCCACCACATGGGGGTGAGCGGCTCCCCAGTAAACCCCAGACAGGGAGACTGTAGGCGGGCTCTGTATGCTCCACACATCATGAGGAGTTCTAGGTCAAAGACATTTCAAAGCCCAGCTTTCTCTTTTCAGTAGTTTTCTTCTTTGCATTGAGGCCCTCAGGAATGTATTTGCACCGAGATCTCATAATGAAATGATTCCTGCTTTTCTTCATCGAGTTCAAGCCATAACTAGTTAGCTGTTATGTATAAAGCACAGTGAAGTCTGTTAGATGGTAGCCCAGTTGTTATCCAGTCAATCTTGACTCTCAGAAACTCTGTGTGTGGAGAGTGGAACCTGGGCGTTTTCTATTCTAGCATTTTTGTTGTTGGTTTCGTTATGGACTGTTGAGCTTGAACTGACCCACAGCTGACCCTCCGTCTGTTTTCAGAGGCAATAACTGCACCGGAGGAGACTGCCCACCCTTCTTCTGTAGAGCAGCGAGTGATGAAAGCTGTGTGCATCTGGTCAGCAGTGCAACTCCTTACCACGAGGCCACAGAACTCTCCTAGCCCTTTAAGTGGCTGGGTTTTCAGAAGCAAAGTGCCAGGCCTTTCTTCCAAGGCACCTCCAAGTGGACTTGAACTCTTCACCTTCCCAAGAGCAGCCGAGTGGACTTTGTGGAATGAAAAGGCAAGTCTCTGACAATGCTTGCTAAGGGGACCAGTGAGCTGTGCTGTGGATTCCGTTACACTGTCATTCTCTGTCTTAGGGGAATGAGGGATCACTTCATAGCAGCTTGATATCTATCAGACATTTTGCCATTTTTTAGTAAAATAAGCAATAATGACTTCTGTCTGCTCCTTTCTGGCTCACTGTGACCCTCCAGCAGGCTTCCAAGGAGGAGACTGACCACCTTCCTCCTGTACAGATACTGTTGTGGGTTAGAACCACAGACCATGTGGTTAGCAGCACAGGACATGACACACAGTGTCACCAACCCTCCTCAGTACAAAGATTAGTTCATGAAAATGACACAGGGGTACATTCATCTAGAAAGTTCTTTGGAACCTCTATATCCTGTGCTTGGGGTGATGCACAAGGCAGTGGGGAGTTCTGGTTTGGGGCAGTTTGAGCCACACCCCCACAGCACAGTGTGGTCAGACGCTGCCCTGGGACATCCCCCCCCCTCCTTCCTCCTCCTCCTCTCTCCAACTCCCGCTTGCCCCCAGAGCTCTCAGGGGTGGTCACTGAGGGGACCCAGGGTGTGACCTACGGGGCTGGGAAGGAAGAGTGGATGGTGACGCAGTGTCCAATCCCCTCTGGCGCTGGAGAGCTCACCTCCCCTGTGGCTTGCTGGTCCCTGGAGACAGCCACGTTCCTGACGAGCTGGTTAAAGAAGCCGTTCAGCTCCTCTCGCTTCTTGTTGGGCAGGATCCGGACCAGTGGGACCATTAAGGACGGGAAGGACACTGGCCAGAGAAAAGATAGTGGACTGAGAAGAGGAGGGATGAAGTGGGTCTGTGGTCATGTCCATGAGTGGTGGTTATTCTGTGGTCAGAGGTCATGCCTGTGGTCGAGGTCATGCCCATGGGCAATGGTAAGGCCCATGGACAGTGGTCATACCCGTGAGTGGGGGCTATTCTGTGGACTGTGGTCATGTCGTGGGCACTGGTCGCCGGCTGGGACGCATGGAGTGTAGATGGCCTCAGGAGGACAGAGCTCCACAGAGTGTCACAGACCCCGAGTGCCCCTCCAAGGCAGCAGGTGTCCAGGGCCTGCCCCTCACTGTAGCCAGGCTCCTCACCCCCTTAGGGCCACACTTACAGATCAAAGCCAGGAAGGGCCTGGGCACAGAGGACTGGAAGAAGCGTCGACAGTGGACCACGAAGGGGTGCTCCGGCATCTCGTGGGAGTCCAGCGGGGTGCCGAAGGCGATGCTGGCCACCAGGTCAGTGGTGTAGCAGGTATAGCAGCTGCAGGGGAGGACACAGGTGAGCTTGGGAGGGGGCAATCACAGCCTGGCTGCAGAGCAGGGAGACCCTCCCCAGGAGTGATGGCCCCTGGGACCACTACCTGGGTGACCTGGCCCTGCAGGAGGGGTGGGTGGAAGGAGCTGATGCACCTGAGACAGGTGAGGGGCCAGTGGAGGACAGGGGAGTAGCTGACGCCCTCACTGGGTAGTGACTGCAGAGCAAGGTGGTTATGTACCATTGAGCCTGAACTTGACCCTTTATCCGGTTTTCAGAGGCAGTGTAATCGCACGGGAGGAGATTGCTCATTTTTTTTCTCCCAAGGAGCAGCTGGTGGATTCAGACCACGTGCCAGTGTGTTGGCAGTGCTGCTCCTTCCAGGGAACAGACAAGGACAGGGACAGGCAGGTCCTTGAGCTCCTGACAAGCAGACAGACTCCCGTGTGTGACCCAGCCAGCCCCTCTGTGCAAAGTGGATGCGCTCAACTGGGTGATGTCTGAGATACCCTTCAGCTCTGAAGAGGGACCTGGTGGCACAGTGGTTAAGTGCCTGCTTGCCAAGCAGGAGGTCAGTGGTTGGAATCCCCCAGTCAGCAGCTCCGTGGGAGGGAATGAGACGGACAGTCTCCTGTAAAGGAACGTGGACTGCCCGCAGGCACATGACCCTATCCCGCAGGGTCGCTGGGAGCCACATTGGCTGCGGGGCAGCAGCTCTGTCATGTGGACACCCCGATGCTGACCCACAAGGTTCAGGGGCCATCGTCCCTCTGGGTGATTGGACTGCTCTTAACAGAGCTGTGGGACACCCCCAGGGCACGACCTATGACAGACAGAGACCACTCAGGGTCAGGGACCAGGAGCCCCCCAGAATGAGGGCTGCTGGCTGGGCCCGGTCCTGGGTCTGAGGAGGTACAACCGATGGGCACCACAGTCTCACTCCAGCTTTGTTCCAGTGGACCTGTACTTTAGGCAGGTCTCCATCAGTTCCCCTGCGTTCTGTGTGCGCCTCTATTTCTGTAGCGAGCTGGTCCCAGTGGTCCCCCAGCATGGCACAGTGTACACAGGGCATCCCCTCGCACTGAGGACAGAGTGAGGCTTCCACCGTGGGCGGGCAGGGTGGCCGCTCTTACCGCTGGATGTCGAAGGGAGCCCCAGAGCCCGAGTAGGGTTCCAGGTGCATCAGGAGGAGGTCACAGGCTTGGCTGACGAGGGGCATCACCTGAGGGAGAACAGCAGAGGCGTGAGGGCAGCAGGCAGGTGCAACCTAGATGGGGACAGAGTAACAGGTGCTCCCTGGGAGATGGATGTGGTTTGAAGGTGCTTTCCACACAGGTGAGGTTCAAGAAAAGGTAAACATTCACAATATTTTAAAAGATGTGAGTAGGTAGCCCCCAGGGAGCCCTGGCTGCCTGCTGCCAAGGAGCGGGGCTGTAGTCCCAAAGGCTCACGGTTCAGACCCACCAGCTGCTCCGCAGGAGAAGGATGGACAATTCCTCCGTGTGATAAACTGCCCCTGAGTGCCCAGTGCAGAGTCAGCTATGGGTCAGTTCCTCCGCGGCAGGATCCAAGAACAACAGACCAGCCAGAGGCATCAGCAGAGCCTCGGCCATAAACGTCTGATTTATAACCCATAGCAAATCTCGATTTGAGCTTCACTAAGACTGTGCTGGGTGTTTTATTTTCGTTTTTTAAGACTCTCTGATGGCACAGGGGGTTAAATGTTTCTCTGTTAATGAATGGTGAGTGGTTCAAGTCCACCAGCTTCTCTGAAGTGAGAGGCGTGGCAGCTGGCTTTCGTGGAGATTCATAAACGTGGAAACCGTCCAGAGCAGCTGGTTCTTCTCTGCCCTGTCGGGCTACCGTGAGGGACCAGACCCGGAAAAAGACATCATGCCCGGAAAAGGAGAGGGTCAGCGGAGATGAGAAAGACCCTTGATGAGATGGATGGACACAGCCAGCGACAGTGGACCTGAGCACAGCTGTGTGAGGACGGCTCTGCGTGGGGCGGGCTGCTTCTGTGTGTGAGTAGGGTGACTGAGGAGGGGGCTCAGGATGTGGGTGAGGTTTGTTCTGTGTGTGCAGGATGACTGGGGAGGGGGCCCAGGGTGGGCGGGCTCTGGTCTCTGTGTGCAGGGTGACTGTGGGAGGGGTCCCAGGGTGGGTGAGACCAGAGTCTCTCTGTCTTAGGGTGACTGTGGGGTGGGGGTCCCTGGGTGGGTGGGCTCTGGTGTCTGTGTTAGGGTGACTGTGGGGAGGGGGTCCCAGGGTGGGAGGGCTCTGGTCTCTGTGTTAGGGTGATTGTGGGGAGGGGCCCCAGGGTGGGAGGGCTCTGGTCTCTGTGTTAGGGTGATTGTGGGGAGGGGCCCCAGGGTGGGAGGGCTCTGGTCTCTGTCTTAGGGTGACTGTGGGAGGGGTCCAAGGTGGGTGGGCTCTGGTCTTTGTCTTAGGGTGACTGTGGGAGGGGCCCCAGGGTGGGAGGGCTCTGGTCTCTGTGTTAGGGTGACTGTGGGGTGGGGTCCAGGGTGGGCCGGCTCTGGTCTCTGTGCGCAGCATGACTGAAGAGGTCTTACCTGACAGCACTAAAGGCAGCAACAACATGCATTACAATCAACTCACCGGCAGCAGGTGTTGTTGTTATGTGCCGTCGAGTTGCCTGCGACTCATAGCGACCCTATGTACAAGAGCCCTAAACTCCGCTCTGTCCTGTGCCAATCGCACTGTCTCTGACACTCCCATCCCAATTATCCCAGTCACTGAATCAATCCACCTCATAGAGGGCCTTCCTCTCCTGTGCCGTCCCTCCACCCTCCCAAGCATGATGTCCCTCTCTAAGGACCGGTCTCTCCTCACAACATGTCCAAAGTAAGTTAGACGGAGCCTCAGAATTCTTGCCTCCAAGGAGCCACCCGGTTTAACCCTCTCCAGGACAAATCTGTTTGTTTTCCTAGCAGTCCATGGTATTCTCAATACTCTTCTCCAGCACCACAGGTAATAAAAAAAAGAAAATGAAAAAAATGATCAACAAGCACTTAGTCAAGACAGGGTGGGCACCCATGTTATGGGAATTTGAGCATGAGAGTCTGGATGCCACGGCGCACACATACAGGCACACCCTGGTACGACCCCCTGATTGATAACCCCTAAATCATTAGACAGTCCAGGGGTGTACAGTGATTGGTAACAACTGGGTCCTGCACTGTGATGCACATCAAAACATTACTATAACTATATACTGTGGTGTTAGGTGCCATCGAGTACGACTCATCGCGACCCTACAAATGACAGACGTGAACCCTGCCCTGTCCTGTGCCGTCCTCACTACCTCTGACACACAGCCCCTTACTGCGGTCACTGTGTCAATCCACCTGGTTGGAGGTCTTTCCGTCCTTCACCATCCCTCTGCCTTTCCAAGAATAATGTCCCTCTCCAAGGAAGAGCCTCCCCTAGCAACTGAAGGCATTTTTGTGTGTCAAGACACGCTTATTTTATGTTTTCTATGCCCAGAAAAGCACATTCTAGCCTGCATGCCGGGGAGCTCTGGGAGTGCAGCCCACAGGGATTGCACTGCTAATCCCAAGGGGCACCTCTCAGGCAGCTTGGATCCCCCAGTGGCTTCATGTGAGGAAGACGGGAAATCTCCTCCTGTGCAGTTTACAGCCTCCAAACTACGTACCCCCCCCCGGCGGGTCAGCTGTGAGTTGGTTCCACAAGACAAACATTAGAATAATTGGGTGCAGATAGAATATATCCGATTCTTCTCACTCACATACAGATTACACTTAAAGACAGACACAGGACCCAGAGTGCAGGCCCCCTGGCATGGCATACAGGCCCCGGCATGGTGAGCAGGCGTCCAGGGACTGGCATGCAGGGCCCATCTGTCCTAGGTCTGCATTCAGCCAAGTTGCATGTTTGCTTCCCATGATGCTTTAGTCTCTCTCTCTAGAATATAGAACCTGGGGGAGCGCTGGTGGCCTAGTGGCAAGGAGCTGCAACTATAATCCCAGAGGCGCATGGTTCGAATCCACCAGATGCTCTGCCGGGGAAGGAGGGACAATCTCCTCCTGTACCAGTCAGATCTGATTTGACGGTACATGCACACAAAAATAATAAAATAAAATAAAAATTTTAAAAAAAGAATATAGAACCTGAGCATCCCAAGGAGTCTCTGGATGGAGCAAAGGTTAACACACTCAGCTGATAATTGAAAGGTTAGCGGTTCAAGTCCACCCAGGGGTTCTTCAGAAGGAAGACCTGGTGATTTCCTTCCGAGGAAACAGCCATTGAAAGTCCTGTGCAGCACATTTTATGACACACACAGGGCGCAGTGAATCAGAATTAGCTCTCAGGCAGCTGTCCACCTGTCCTGCTGGTCTACGAGGGACTGAGCGCTGAGGACGCCACAATTTCGGGCTCGTCAGTTAGATGTGCAGGTCTAAGCACACACAGCCAGGCTCCAGCTTCCAGACAAGCCAGCTCAGACCTCTGGCTGCTGAAGCAGAAGCGTGTGAACCGTCTCCTCCCCTCTCCCCACGCGCAGTCATGGGAGGAATGAGCTTGGCCACCTTGGTTCGTCCTAGGTCGCCCTATGTCGACGGTTCTCGACTGGTGCCTTCTGGTCTAAGTGCCCGCACACCGTCTGTTTCACAGCTGTCAGTGCTCGAGTCCCCGAGCACGGGGCACTGGGGCACTGACATGGCTGCAGGCCTGTTCTCCCGAGGAAGGAACCCCACTCTCCTCTCTTGTGGACCAGATTCAGCAGCATATACCAGCGGGTTCACGGGCTGATTCCTGTGGTACTGTCACAAGTGGAGGGGTGCAGGAGAGCCTGCTTTAATAACCCCCCAAATCTGTCAGGGTCATTTCAGAGCAGCAGTCTCATCACTTAATTTTTCCTTTCACTGTAATAAAGGGAAGTTTGGCCAACAAGCTCGAGAGGCCTTTCCTGGGGAATGCACACCCAGAGCGTGTGATTTACACCCGGGCTGGTCTCCGCAGCCGCCCGGGACCCACACCCTGGGGGCCGAGCACTCCCCCCGAGCTCACAGCGGGACGCCCTGCTGTCCCCCGTCCTGACCATCATTTCCTGCCACACTCTGCCTACCGTCGGTGCAGCCCAGGGGATAATGGCGTTTTTATGTGGGTTAATTGTGATCTGAGATAGGGCATGTAACATGAAGAGCATGGTCCTGAGCAGAGCAGGGAGAGGCGAGGAGGCGGGCGTCCACTCCGGGTGCTGACCAATCGCAGGCCCTGCAGCCTCCTGCCGGCTGGTCTCGGCTAGCAGTTACGGAATTCTCACACGCATCGCATACAAACAAAAGCTCTCTTTGTTGGGTTGGCGTAATCTTTATACAAACCACAGACTCTGCATTTCCCCCCAGACCTATGGAGCTGCGGGCATGCACACACATGTGCGCACACACACATGCATGTATACCTGCACACGTGTGCACACACACTTGTGTACACACCTGCACACATGTGCACGCGCACACACACAGAGGCGACCACATCATGCCCTGTGCTGTCACCGCTCGGATCTCAGTAAAAGCCTTGCATTGGTTTGTTCTACACCCACCCCCACCCCCGCCTTCTCGTTGTCATTTATTTCACATCATGCGTGTGGGTCACCCCTGCAGGCAGATAAGCACCAAAGGCTGAGGCTTCTTGCAGTGTGACCTCTGCCCAGGGACGATCTAGTAGCTATCCTGGGAGCACCCTCCCTCCCTCTCCTCTCTCAGTGGTTACTTGGTGATGCAGGGGGTAGGGCTGTATTACTCTGTGAAAGCAGCTGTCATCCCCCATGGGGACATCAGGGCAGAGAACCACCCAAGGACAGGGGTCTACTCTTGCTGGCATCCACTCTGTAACTAAAGAGTCCAATCAAGAGAACAGGCCCTCCACCAATTGTGCCTAAGAAATGTAGGTGTAGGGAGACCAGGTGTAGAGAAAGGGTTGTGCAGAGAATTCTAGAAGGCGGAGAGGGCCTTCTGAGTGGACAAACAAGGGGAGGCTCTTGTGGAAGGACCCACCACGGCTCAGGCACTGCCCGCCCTCTTTCCCACCATCTTGGAGTCTTGCCAATGGCATTTCCACCTCCGAGGAACACACAGGCCTTGTTGAACCACACTCTCTGATGAGTATCTTTGCCTCCTGGCAATTCCTGGCTATGTGGCCCTGGCCAAGGAGCAAGACCTCAGTGAGTCTGTCTTCATCTGTAAAATGGGAAGAAGGCCACTTCCCCTACCCACATACACATGGAGTCTAAAAGGATCAGAAACAACACCTGTCAGGCGCTTGGTACCAGGATTCGGTGGGGTCATCCCCGTTTTGGCCTCCTGTTCCTCACAGGCCACCCCATCACATCCTGCTGGGTTTGGATCACTTATCTTTTCTAGGCTACCCCAAACTCTGTCTCCCTGGCTGTTCCATTAATTCAGGGGTCACCACCTGGAATGTGGTTGTGTCCTGCTTCCTGGTGTCAGGGACCCATCCCACTGCAGCGGACAGTCTCAGAGCCTGCACGGAGCCCAGACATCAGCAAGAAGACCCCGTTCCCATTGTGTTGACTGCTCCTCACAGCCACCCTGGGCGTTTTCAAGGCTGGGGTTCATCGTGGGAGCCGACTGCCACATCTTCCCCTATGCAGCAGCAGGTGGGTTTGAACTGCAGACCTTTCTGTCAACAGTTAAGCTCTTAACCCACTCTACCACCAGAACTCCTTCTCAACCTCATTACCTTCCAGCCAAAACCTACTCAGACCTGAGCCTCCCCGGGGCTTTTGGAAGCTGTATATTGCACATCAGGAAACTGTCCTGCTTTTCCTGGGAGTTGCTGGTGGATCTGACCAAGCAGCCAGGCCTGATCTTCGGGTTAGCAGCACAACGCCCTCTGAACTAGGCCACCAGAGCTCCCGGGCTCCTTGATGTGTGTGTCATCCAGGCAGCACTGACACAGAGACAGTCAGTCACACTGGAGACTGTCCACCGAGCAGCTGGTGGATTCGAACTGTGGTGCCTTCAGGTTGGCCTTACAACTAGGCCACCAGAGCTCCTCAGGCATACTACAAAACCATGTTTTCTTTTGGGTTTTAAAAAAATTTTTTTTTAAAGTTTTACTTTGTGTATACCATCAAATCAGATCTGACAGGTACAGGAGATTGCCCCTCCTTCTCCAGCAGAGCATCAGTGGATTTAAACCACATACCTCTGGAATTGCAGTGCAGCTTCTTGCCGCTAGGCCACCAAAGTCCCCTATAAAATTGTGTTTGAAAGAGCTTCCCAGTCTCCTGTCTTTTCACTTTCCATCCCATCCTGAATCCAATCACCAGGACCGTCTTCTGGAAGTCGCCTTCACTGCCAGAGGACATGCCTTAAAGATACCTCTGGTTCGATTCCATGGCAATAAAGACAGTCACACGGGGTTCTGGTTTCCCAGCACAGGTAAACGTCATGGTGACATTTGACTGTTGTGTACAAGGTGTGCAGCAGCGTGCTGGAAAGATTGGAAATGACTAGAGAGAACCAAACGTGGCACAGAGACCGGGAGTAGGCATGTGCTGTTGGAGACATGGGGATCATGGCTGAGTTCTGCGTGGAGCTGCCACCACCTTCAGTCCATGGAGTTGCCGTGTCTGAGAGGTGGACGGCACTGCAGGAACGGATGCCATCCTGCCTCTGAGCTAGCTTGTTGCCCCAGATCTGAGGCCTGTTCCCAATCTGCTGCAGAAATCACCTCCTGAATCTGTCGCAGGAAAGAAACCTCTCCTGACTGAAGGCTCCACAGGCCTGAGCACCCCGGAACTCACCTGTGGGGTTACGGCCAGGGTCGGTTGTAGGGGTCGCCTTTTGGGGCCTCTTCCTGCTGGCCAGAGGCCTCCGCCGCTCCTTACCACATGGCCTGTTCACAGAACAGGTGACATCATAGCAGGTGACTTTCCTCAGAGCCTGCATTCAGAGCAGAGGACAGGACGAGGATGGGAGCCACAGGTGTGCCACTTCTACCTGGACATGATGGCCACCGCTTCTGCTGACTTCTGTCACTGGACATGAGTCCCCAGGAGGAGTGCACACCCATGGGTGGGTGTTACCCCAGGGCCTAAAGGCCAGGGTCGTCTTGGAGGCTGCCGTGACCCAGCACTGGTTCTGATTTTGGGGGTGCTCTGTGGTGGAGGAGGAGCCCTGGCCCATTTCTGAAGGCTAGCTGGGTGGTACCAGAGTGGAGAAGATGAAGTGTGTTCGTGGAAGTCTGCTGGCCCAAGCCCCTGACTGCTCACGGAGGAAAGGCGTGGCGGTCCATTCCGATGGGATCATGGTGGGCAGTCCTCCTCTGACCAAGTCACTGGGCGGCAGAATCATCTCGACAGCAGTGACTTCTGGAAGCATTTCGGTCCCAGCCTAAGTGGACACCCCAGGCGCTGTCTCTCTGACCACCTCTCACCTCTGCAGCCCTGCTCCTGACCGTGACCTCCGGTGCCAGGCTCGAAGCTCTATCGCCAGGAAACATTCCACATGTTCTACTCCTTACGTGAGCTATTTCTGTCTCGTCCTGGGACAGGTGCTTGACACGGGTTGTTCTTTATTGGTCATGAGGGGTGTCGAGTCTGTTGTGACAAGTGAAACTGCCTCACAGGCTCCCCCCGAGGTCTTATCGCTGGCTCGTCCTCCTGCAGAGTTCCGTATACTGCAAAGTCGACCATCCCATCCAACACCTGGGGCTCAGCCACTGTGCCACCAGGGCTCCTGCAGGTGCCTAGAACAAGGCTTCGCACTGTGCAGGGACCAGGCCCTTTCGTCAGGATGACCCCGTGTGACACTTCCATCTGGAGCTCAGACAACTGCGGTGGGACGTCTAACACAGGCTGGAATGTGTTCCCTGACAGGGACATACAACTGACCGAGGTCAGCTCTGGCTGTCCACTTGGACCACTGGGAGAGCCAGCATGTCCCCGAAGCCAGGCTGCAGCCCAGTGCACTCCAGATTTTCCCAGTACCCCTGTATAGGCGGGCTTCGGAGACTCCAAGAGCAGCTGAGTGGAGGACCCTCTGCCCCCTTCCCCTGTGGTAACCCGGGAGAGAAGACAGGGCGTGAGCGGCAAGTGTGGCCCCTGCAGACCCTCCATGTTCTCTCTCTCTCTGTCATACGCCCAAACCCCACGCGGCAGAGGCTGTCCTAACAAATCCACAGGGGCCCCAGCATGTCATCACCCCCAGTGCCCTCAGTGAGAATGGAGACTATAGTGTCCTCTGTCTGAAGCCAAGTCCCACACCTAGGCATTCTCCTTCTTCAGATGAAGACAGAGTGATGCCTGCAACCCCTCAGCCTGTCCCCTGCAACCAGTCCACCACGGGTGCCCACTGGTACTGCAGATACTGCTGGCATAGCTTCTACCATCACCACTCTCATTTCTTGAACTGAAGACAGTCTCCTCCCGTAGAAAAGGTGCCACCTGGGAGTGACTGGGCCTCGACCAGCCATGAGCCTGGCTGAGCCAGTGACCTGGGCACCTGGGAATGACTGGGCCTTGGCCAGGGGCCATGAGCCTGGCTAAGCCAGTGACCTGGGCATGTGGGAGAAGGCGGTTGGCCAGGAGACGCCACGTACAGACGATTGTCACGTGTGACCAGGTGGGAAGCCACAGTGGGCAGGGCGTTTGGATGGGCCACTGAGCGAGTGACCCTATGAATGTGTCCACCACAGAGTGAGGTAAGAAACCGCCTCTCAAGAGACCCGAGCTGGTGCCTCACCTCTCTGAGCATCTCTGGACTGAACGCGGGCATCAGCACGCCTCGAACCTCTTCCCACCTCTTGTCCCGTAGGAACAGAACGCTCTCGGCCACCGGCTTGGACTCCAAGCCCGACACCTGTTGGGAAAACCAGCAAGAGTTAGAGCTCGGCGCTGAGCCAGGCAGTCAGTTCACGGTGGTGTTGTTGTATACCGTTGAGTCAGAACTGACCCACAGCTGACCCTCAGTGGGTTTTCAGGGGCAGTAAATCACGTGGGAGGAGATTGCCGATCTTTTTCCTGCAGAGCAGCTGGTGGGTTTGAACTATGTAGCCTTTGGGCTGGCAGGGCAATCCTTTACCTCTGAGACACCAGAACTCCTTAACTGACAATGGCATCAGTTCTCAGCAGTGTCTATTGATGACCACCAGTGACCATCAGTGAGGGTATGGAAGGACCTAAAAGTTCATGGCCAGTGGGGTGGAAGGCTCAGGGTCAGGGGCAGCCTCTGCTCTCCTCTCAGAATGAGGCCTCTGAGGTGTCCGTGGGCAGCCAGTTTCCCATGGTTTGAGTTCTCATGCCTGTCCTGGGTGGTCATGTGGAGAGGGGAAGCGGGGAAGGTGGGGAAGGGGAAAAGGGGATCCGAAAGGACGGTCCCTACAGAGCTGCCTCTATGAGAACCGCTGTCAGGACGCTGCTGTGGCCTTTCACCCGCTCCCTCCCTCATCTCCTCATTCAACACCCCCAGAGCGCACACCCTCAGAGCCGGTGGTCTAATGGGGCCTCAGGTGTGAACTTATAACCTGAGACCCTGAGGCCATCATGGTTTCTGAGGAAGCGAGTACAATGAAGGGAAAATAGTGAGGTTTCTGTGACAGAGGCCCCTCTGAGGGGGCTGTGAGGCCAGCCAGGAAAGGGAGTCCTCACTCTCCTCCCCACAGGCCACCCTGGGCCTCTCCCCCGAACTGTTCCCACCACGCAGTCGAGGGTGGCCCCGCCGACCAGTGCAGCCAGCTCCGTGTCCGGCGGGGAGGCCCACACGCTGTTCACTTGCACTTTGTCGCCCTATTTATTATCCTTGAAATATCAAGCCAGACAATTTCATTCAACAGCCTGGTGAAGAATCCAGTATAAAGGAAAATGATAATTTCTGAGAAAATATGAACACTCAAATTAAAGGCCCCAAACAAGACTACAGCTGAATCTGGGGGATTTAATTACCCGTCAGCCCCAAGCTGCTGGGACAACTTTCAGCAGAGGACTCCCTCTCTATATGTAGAATGAAATTCTACAGGACACAGTGGTTGTGAGGCAGAACTGTGGTTTGGTGGAGTCCCAGGTAAACAAACTATTCCCTTCTGTTCTAGCTTCAGGTAAACAAACCTCTAGAATCAGAGGAAGAAATCGTGCACTCTGTGTGTTTACTCGAACACCCACCGCTGCTGAGTGACTGTCGTATCTTAGTGATCTCCCATCCGGTTTCCAAGTCTGTGAATCTTAACAGGACACTGCCTGTCTTTCTCCCCTAGAGCAGCTGGTGTATTTGAACCACCAAAGTTGAATGGCCTTCAGGTCAGCAGCACAGCCCTCCATGGACCGCGTCCCCAGCGCTGCTCAGTATATCCAGGTATCCACTGGAACCTGGCCCTGTGCCCGGCTGCCCGTGGGTGTAGATATTCAAGCCAGAGGAAAGCCAGCTGGAGGATGAGGTGTTGACAAAACAGACTAGACTTAAGGGCCAAGAGTGGCTGGATCTCGTGTCTCCCCTTGAAGGACACGGGCCCATGATGTGTTTCTCCTGGACCCAGAGGACCAATGTGGTCTCACTGGGGTGTGTTGGGACTGCCCCTCAAATCTGTCCCTTCCCAGCCTGCGTCAGCATGGAAGTCCCGCTGGAGAGCTCCAGGGATGGCACCCCCCGTCACTCTCTGGTCAGGGGCATCATGTAGTGAGTAGACGATGAGTAAAGGGGACAGGAGAGGCAGTAGGGAAAGAAAGGAAAAGGAAGAAGGAGGAGGAAGAGAGGCAGATAAGGGGGAAAGATGGGGTAGAAGGGGGAGTAAGGGAGAGGAGAAAGTGAGGAAGAAGAAGGGAAACAGGAAATAGAGAAGAAATCAGAGAGGAGCATTTCACAAAGTTATTGTTAAGCTAGTTTAAGACAGGAGTGTGGGTGCTATGATATATGGAGTGGGTGGTGTACGGATGTGTGTGAGTGTGTGTGTGTGCAAGATATGCATGATGTGTGTAGTGTATGGTGTGTGTGTGGTATGTGGTTTGTGATGTGTGTGGTATACAAGGCGTGTGCTTTGGTGTGTATACAAGCTATGGGGGTGGTGTCTGTGGTGTATGATGTATTAATAAGTGTACATTAAGAGGTGAGTGTTCTGTGTCAGGATGTGGGATGCCTTTCTTATTCTTGGCCGTACTTAAAAAAAAAAAAAATCTTCATTCTAAAACCAGACCCCAAAAGTGGGATTCACCGTCTAATCTCTCAGCTAAAACCCTGTCAGTCACATGGCCCTGTTGGATCAGGCAGTTCTCGCCCCACAGCCACCGTTCTCCCTGAATCTCTGCTTCTCACCTCACAGCCTCCGATCTACCCAGCACTTTATTTCTCATCTTGTCCTCTCTTCCCTGAACCAGGATTTCTGTTCTCACCTCATCACCTCTGCGCTGACCCGAGTCTCCAGTTCTCACCCAACAGCCTCCGTCCTGGGCTGGGTCTCCAGGAGCCTCAGGCCAGCTCCCTCCCTCCCTCTCCTACATGTATCTTGCATACTGGGCTTGGAGAAATGTCTAACCAAAGTCTCCTCTGCCCGTGGCTCCTCCCTTGCCGAACCACTGCTCCCACCAAGAGCCTTCAGAATGGACGCGGCGGGTGATTGTGATGCTGTGACATAGCGTGGAGCCTGAAGGCCCTTCCAGAAAGAGTTTGCTGAGTCCTGGGGCGTGGAAACATTGACTCCCAGTCTGCCTGGCCTCTGTGATGTCTGGCCCAGGACCAGCCGCAGTTCATCTCCAGCTCATACCAAGCCCAGGTGTCTCAGACCACAACTGTCCTCCACAAGGTTTTCAAGGCCATGACCTTTGGGGAATAAATTACCAGGCCTTTTTCCTAAAGAACCTCTGGTATGAGCCAAACTACCAGCCTTGGGCACTTAATAATTTGTACCACCCCTTCCTGTCACTCAAACTCCCTGACATCAAGTCACTTCAAATTCTTAGTGCCCCTTCATCAAATTTATAAGGCTATACGTCCTGACAGTGGGAGATTAGTGATCTTTCTTATGCAGAACAACTGGTAGATGTGAACTCCCAAAGACGTGCATCTTGATTACATGCTGATAATCTAAAGGACTAAGGATAATCTGCAATGTGGATGAAGACACCAGAGTCCCATGCAGTTCCCAACCCTCCTCAAGTAGCCACAGAGTCAAAGAGAAACAGTGTGAGGGGCTTTTAAAGCCACCAAGAGACCCACGTCTTCAGTGACGCTGATTCAAGTGCTGTCAACTTATGTTTCATTGAGAATATCAAGTTTGCTGTTGAAAAAAATCGTCTGAATGCAAACTGCCTTCACTAACCTTCTGAGATCCACTGTCACAAACTTGTCTGTAGTTCTTGTAAAAAAAATCTGGCACAAGTGAAGAGGGACATGGTACCCTGGTCTCTGCTCTCACCTCAGGATGTGTAAACGCTTCATGCCTCCTCAGTAGATACAACCCGAGGAGAAGCAAGAATTTCTGTATCTGGACAAACTTGCACAGTGTCCCTGTGGTGACTTCAGACCTGGACTGTCCTCAGATTTGAACCAAGCATGCTCACATGTTGATCATCTGACCAGAAGGGTGTCCTGTCCCCAGGACCACTACTTTCCTTTCTTTCTTGGCAGGAGATGGTCGTAAAGGCATGTTAACGTGGCTGCTGTGTGTGTGTAACCAACCCCAATTCGTGGCATCCAGTGAAGTTAGGTGGTGTGTCCACAGCTCAGGGGCAGGGGTGCCAAGATGGAGCTTCACCTGCAGACAGTCAGCAAAAGGACAGCTTTGGCTTCCTGCTGTCCATTTAGATGATGGCGTGTACAGATGGAGGGACCCTGACTGGCCAGATTCCAAGTGTTCCATTCACTGTGGAGGAGCGAGGGTGGGCTTGAAACCCTGCTGGCATCAGCACCACATCGGAAGGAAGGGCCCTATTTGACATGGCTGAGTAAGGGCCTCCTACAGCCCACCTTATGAGGCCACATGTCAAGCAGACCACAGCCAGCAGCACTCTTGGGGGGACAACGGTGTCCCTGATGTGGCTCCTGTCATACTGAGTTCTGAGAAGACTTTCTCCTGAGGGACACTCAGAGGGAATCTGTCCCCCTGCACCTAGAGTTAATGATGGTTAACGATGGCTTGGAAATGCTGATGGGACGATGTGACATGGTGACTGAGGGGCTGTAAACAGTCCAGTTGCCATGGAGTTGACATTGACTCACAGTGACCCCACGGGTACAGCAGAACTATCATCCATGGAGTTTCCCATGAAGAAGAAAGCCAGGCCTTCCTCCGGAGGAACCTCCTGGTGGACTTGAACCTTCAGCCTTTCAAGCACATTGACCAGAGGAAACCCACATCAAAATGCACAGCAAACCCACCCTCATCGATGTGATTGACTCACGGTGACCCCGGGCCACCAAGGAGAACTGCTCCATTGGTTTTTCTCAGCTGTGGCCCTTACACAGGCCTTTCTGCTGAGGGGCTTCTGGTAGACTAGGACAGTCGCTGTTTCTGGCTGCAGCTGAATTCATGAACTGTTTGCACTCACCGCCTGTAGACTCAGGTGCACCCCAGGATGACCTCGACAGGATGTTCAGGAACACAGTCAGCAAGAGGTAGACTCACCTACTGACTCACTTACCCCAAATTCTGGAGATTAATCACCTATTTTACACATTTCTCTACTTCTGCCACCACAAATGTTGGGGAAAGAAATACCTATATCTATAAAATTTTTAGGCTATCTGGAGGAGGAGATTGATCATCTTTCTTTAAACAGTAGCTGGTATGTTTGAACTTCCAACCTTTTACTCAGCAGCCCAACACTTGAACTATTATGACACCATCTGTCCACCTCCGTCCGGGAGCAGTATGG